GGGCGCACTAGCCGTCCGGGCGTTGAACGTCACAGATACAAACGCGCGTCACAGTCTTTTTTTCCCCTCGGCAACTGATCACTACATTACAATGATAAGCTTGTCTTGACGTAGATCTTCGTAATGAATTGTGCGCTTGTCTATGAAATCAAAAGTTGCCGTTATTCTAGGCTCTACACAGCAAAACAACTTTGTGGTAACATTTGAACTAATCGGTCTTTTTTTTTTTTACACAGCTCATAATATGGAGGCATTTCAGGCACTACTTGTGACTTCGCTTTATACATTACTAGCTCAGTGCCTGTAATTATCCACACAAAACCTTGTGTTTGCTATAACGAACACTCGGATTGAACGAGATTTTAGGTCAGGCCCGGCGACCTCGTTGAATCCGGGTTCCACTGTATTAAAGTTTGCTTAAGGTTAATTTATAATCGTTTCACGACGTGGTGGGATCAGGCGCTCGTCAATTTTTGGGCATATGGGGGGGTTTTTTGGTATCATCTTTTAGTCTGTTCATTTGCCTTCCTTTGGGCGAATAAAATATCCATCTATCTAGAATAGAAGTCGAAACTTTTGCGATTGAAGAAGGTCAGGGTCGCCTGGTTTCATAAGGTAAAGTTAACGAGAAAATGGCCGCCAAATTTTGGTAACTTCCATAGGCTAGGAGTCCTTGGAAACTGAAAATTTACTTTTTTTTCTGCCTTTAATCAATGTTTTTCAGTAAAATCCACACAAAAAATGTGTTTTTAAATAGACATAAAAGGTGTTGAGCCACCCCAAAAAAATTTAAAAATCAGAATATTATTGCTCACCGGCCAAAAAAATGCCACTTTCTTTGATTTAATTATTTTTACGAGTGCCTGATTTCACCACAATGCCTCACAATTAAGCACGTTGATTCTGTGGACACAGCTCACCAGGCGGAAAGTGGGATATCGCCCGACTAACATTCATGACAACGATCCTTTAACAAGCCAAAGGGAATAATTTATTATCTTCACACAAGTAAAACATTCTCTGAAGAGAAATGAGAAAATTAGATAGCATCAGAATAATATAACGCCGTCACCTTGAAGGATACATTACGTAAACCTTAGAAGTGAAATTACATAAATCAAAGGACCATAGCTATAAACAACTTCCTGTCATAGTCATAGACAGATTATATGAGACGATGGAAGAGAATCATATTCCCTTTTGAAAAATTCATTGAGGTCTCCCATTGGCTCATTTTATGAAAACGACAGAAATATTTATTCTGGCAAACCAACATAGTCCCCGGCTCTGTCAACACATTCACAAAAGGGAGGTAACGATAATACCCTCGATCACGCTCAAGTTTTCCCACTCATTTTTTTTGTTCCCTTTTCCAAATCAATAGCGAGTATGACGAGCTCTGCACGGCTCGGCATAATGCCCCTTGTTGCCACGATACGGATCACACCTAAGAGGGAGGATGTAAATAAATGATGGCGGCCTGCTACTGACGTCACAGAAGAGGCACGTTCACTCTTGAATTGCCTAGAAGGCATTTTTGGGACATTAATTAATGAAGATATTATAGAGCCCGTACGTTTTCGCCGAGCTCGGCTTTTCTGTACTAAAATCTGGCTATGAATCTGCTTTAATTCCTTTCCGTCCGTGCGTTCACGTGCACAAAGACCCAGGCTTATCTTTCGCCTGTTTTATCCTGTTTACATCTTTGTGCATAATGTCACGTTCTTTTGCAAGAGCTCGAATCAGCATTAATTTTTCTGCCGTTTTAAGTTTGCGACGCAAACCTTAAAGCTCCTTTGCATTTAAATCAGAAGGTTTCCTCCTCCTCTACCCTCCACCCCCTTTTTTTCCCTTTCTATCTCACTTTCTCC